TCTGCTATTTATCAAGCACCTGTTTTGTGCCCTTGGCCTGCGTCCTGAGTAACAGCCTAGTGTGGACAGTCAGTATTAGGATCGTGAGATCTATGCAGACAAGTGCTGGTTTCTGTGTCATTTTGGCCTCATTATTTCAAAGTCCTGTAAAGTGCCTCTGATCCCCAAACCTAACATCAGTATCTTAGACATCTCTTGTCCTTTGGGTGGGGAAGGGATGGTAAAGCATGATTTAGAACCCAACACAGTGCCTGACTCAGGAATTCTGGTTGGGTGGAATCAAAGGTGATGCCTTGTTCTCACCAGTTTAGATTATGTAGCCCAGACCTCATCAATACCAAGAAGATGGGGCAGGGGGATGGGGGGAGGGAGAGTTGCAGGGAGGTATGGCATGAACCCTACTCCTAGGAGGGAGACCCTTTTTACAGCCATACTTTCCCAGTTCTGAACTTGTGTGGGGAGCCTGCTCATAATATTTGTTGGCCTGGGAAACAGTACAAAGGAAGATCCTCTTCAGTTCAGTTCAGTTCAGTCACTCAGTTGTGTCTGACTCTTTGCGACCCCATGAATCGCAGCACGCCAGGCCTCCCTATCCATCACCAACTCCCAGAGTTCACTCAAACTCATGCCCATCGAGGTGGTGATGCCATCCAGCCATCCCATCCTGTGTCGTCCCCTCCTCCTCCTGCCCCCAATCCCTCCCAGCATCAGGGTCTTTTCCAATGAGTCAACTCTTCGCATCAGGTGGCCAAAGTACTGGAGTTTCAGCTTCAGCATCAGTCCTTCCAATGAACAGCCAGGACTGATCTCCTTTAGGATGGACTGGTTGGATCTCCTTGCAGTCCAAGAGACTCTCAAGAGTCTTCTCCAACACCACAGTTCAAAAGCATCAATTTTTCGGCGCTCAGCTTTCTTCACAGTCCAACTCTCACATCCATACATGACCACTGGAAAAATCATAGCCTTGACCAGATGGACCTTTGTTGGCAAAGTAATGTCTCTGCTTTTTAATATGCTATCTAGGTTGGTCATAACTTTCCTTCCAAGAAGTAAGCGTCTTTTAATTTCATGGCTGCAGTCACTATCTGCAGTCTTACCATATCTAAATATTTATAAAGCATGTGGGTGCATGCTAAGTTGCTTCAGTCAGGTTTTGATTCTGTGTGACCCTATGGAATGTAGCCTGCCGGGCTCTCTGTCCACAGGATTCTCCAGGCATGAATACTGGAGTGGGTTGCCATACCCTTCTCCAGGAAAAGCATAAATCAACCTACTTGTGACTATTCTAGCCTCTCATCATGATAAGCATAACTTCATAATGACCCAGAAGGCCAGGTTTGAATTTGGACTTCTAGGACTCCCTGAAGTTCTATGCTAGAATGTGCCTCAGTCCTGGCCCCAGCCTGCCTCCTCTTAACCCCCTCGCAGCTCCACCTCACGCCATAAAGGGCTTTGTGCATATGTAGAGGCATCCAGCCTGCACAGCCAAGCTCTATCCACCCAGCTTTCTGACAAACAGCTGCCCCCTTGGCAGGAAATTCTGGGGTCCTAGGTATCAGGGGTGATCTGGAAAGAAAAAGGTCACATCCCCTTGACCCTGTACCCCATAGGGAGATCACGGCAGGGAAGTAGGAGTCCAGGGCACTGATCCTCCTCCTCTTGCAATGGGATTTTCCAGGCCACAAGCTCTGCCAGCAAAGGCAGCTCATCCTCTGGTCTCTGACCCTGATTTTCTTACATCACTCTGAGAGGTAAAAGAGAAACAAGCAGACCAGTACAAAAGAAAAAATACTGTTTATTCCACACAACTACACCAAGTGCTTGCCCCCTCCCCCCATTCTCCCCCACCCCCCACCTCACTCCAGCTCTCAGCAGACTTTGTCCATGTCGGGGAACAGTTAGAACCTCGGTGTCAGAGCCTGGCCTGTGAGACAGGAAGGGAATCTAGGCATAGGAAGGTGATGGGATTTCCAAGGACACACAAAAAAGCCAGGGCCTCTCATTCCAAATTCAAACAGGTCCTTTAATCCACTTGGCTGAGTTCTCTCCCTGAACCCCACTTGGATAAAATGCCATGATTAGTGCAGGGTCAAAGGCCCCAGCCAATTCATTAAGCCACAGAACATTTTGGTCTTTGAAACAAAAACAAAACCACATGCAAACACTGAAGCTTTTTCTGCCCTTTCGCCTGCCTTTCCATGGCAAAGGAGCCACTGAGCTCTGGCTGGTAACCAGAAAGGTGCTTTTAAAATAAAATCAGTATCAACTCCCTTCAGAGTCTGATGCTGCTCGTAACAAGGATATAAACAAAACAAAACCCCACCTCAGGGCCATAGCTGCTTCCAGGGGGCCCTATGGTGCGGCAGTAAGAGCAGAGATCAGGTTGGTGAGCTCTGCTGTGTGCGTACTTCAGGGACACCCCATAGCCCCTGCCTGGGGAATTCAGCTTGCAAACACTCTGGCCCCCCTCCCCCCGGGCTTGTTTCTCTGAAAGACCAACCCAACATTCCAGCAGAAGAAAAGTTTTCGTTCTAGCCCAGCCTTGAGAAGACAGATTTAGATGCGGGAGGAGCTAAGAAAGCATGTCCAGGCCTAATTTAGAGCAGTTTTTTCCTGCCGTGACACAGGACAGATGGTGTCCTCCTGCATATCCACTGCCATGGACACGCCCTGGATCACATGCTACTCCTGTATGCACCACGCATGACCCACTTGTCTCTCCCAAGAAAGAAAGCATATCTGAATGCACAGGCTTGAGGGTAAAAACCTGTATCTCTCTAATTTATTGAACTGTAAGTCACTGAATCCTTCACAAACTCTGGTACTTGATTCTCACTGAAAACTTGTTTACCACCTCTCTCAAGTACCCCTCTCAAGTGAGCCTGTCACCTCATTGAGTCGGGTGGATAACCTTGAACTTGAGCGTGCAGCCTTATCCTTGGAGACGTATTCTCTGCTGGGAGGCTGCGGCAAGCGAGGTGCCCACCTGCTTCCTCATCCCCCACCACACGTGAGCAAGTCTGGTTGGTCAGAATGCAGTGGTGTGGAGTGTGTGTGCGTGTATGTGGCAATTTGACACACAACTGCCCTCTCACTGGCAGGGCCACCAAGACGATGGCCCGGTGGCCCTGAGAGGCCTGGGACGCACCAGCTTCAGGTAGGAAAGGAAACCCAGTCTGCCAGAGGAAGCAAGGCTGGGCTCTGCACCAGTGTCCCAAGGAGGTGGTAACATGCCCTCACATGGCAGTCACTTCTTCAGGGTTTATCGTATGAGGGGTATTGGAGGGCAGCTGCTAGAGACCAGGTTCTGTAAGGACAGGAGCTGTGAAAGGTGGGGGCGCCTGACCCCTGTGACTTGTGTATGACCTTTAAGTCTAGTCTACATAGCAGGTCTGGGCACCTCTAGCAAACCTCCCAGTGCCCTTCTGACCTCCCCGAGTCACATACTGAGTTCCAGGGGACACCCAGCCGCAGGGAGGCTGAGAAACTCACTGAACATCTTGCATGAGATGCCAAGCTCCAGTGTACCACAGACACCCTCTCTGAAGGCAAAACCCAGCCTTCTCTAGGGGTATTCTGAAGGCAAAACCCAGCCTGCTCTAGGGGTATTCTTAACTCAGAAGCACTCTAGGGGGCTTGTTCACACAAACACATGGTCTAAGACTCTGGACAAAATTAGATTTCTCCTCTGGTATCCAAGACTGCAAGTTACAAAGGAAATTAGTTAAGTCACCTTCCACAAAGGACCTTCCCAGGCTGCTGTCAGCTCTTTATGGATGTGGGCTTTTCCCAGGACCTTTCTGTCTGGTGTTGTTTCACTTGCTGCTTCTGAGAAGACCCCAGGACTGGGTGGGAGGTGAGTGTGAGGGCAGGAGAGACTTAGCATTTCTTTCCTCATTTTTTTTTCCCCCCGAGTCCCTGCTTATCTGGGCAGGGGGATTTTCCAGGCTGCAAGTTCTCTTAACCACATCATTCTGATGAGGAGATGGACATGGTCAGAGATCAGATTAAAATCTGGGAGAGATAACCGTATTTATCAAGTTCCCAATCTGCTGGCTTAGCTGGTAAAGAATCCGTCTGCAGTGCAGGAGACCTGGGTTTGATCCCTGGGTTGGGGAGATCCCTTGAAGAAGGGAAAGGCTACCCACTCCAGTATTCTGGCCTGGAGAATCCCACAGACTATACAGTCCATGGGTCGCAAAGAGTTGGATACAACTGAGTGACTTTCACTTCACAACCTGCTATAGACCCAGGTCAATTCCAGGACAGCTAGAGTTTACTGCTGATTTCTTCCGACATGATGTATAAAAGAAAGAATTCTGCTTTAGTGCAATTTTCCCTACATAGGAGCCAAGGAGAGATGGGAGTGATCATGTGTTCTGGCCCCAGGTCTGTGGAAACCTTCTGACCTTGAGGTCGAGGCATACATGGAATCTGACTTTCTGAGCTGCACATCACATCACACTTTTCAGAACAAGATCTCTTGGATTTTGTCGGGGGACAGTGTGACTGCAGGCAGAGGGCAGGTAGGTGAGGCTGTGGTTCCACTGGATGAGCCGCTGTACCTGCCACGCTCACACAGAGGAACAGATAAGAGACAATGGAGAGAGTGCCATCAAACACAAGAGCTAATGGCCAGTGGTCCTAGAGGCTACTACAGCCCCGTCCCAAAGATGGGGAGCCTCTGGTTCCCAGCCAGAATTCACCCTTCAAAAACCCACATCAGCAAAGTGCTTCTTTAAGTGACACGACAAATCCCCTCCTTCGGCATGACCAGCCCCAAACCTGGAGGTCTCAGGTGGGGCCCACTGCCCTCCCTGGGATGCGGACGACAGGGGGAAGAGGAGGGAAGCAGCTGACACACAGGTGCACGATGGAGTCTCACAACCCGGGACAAACACAGCCACGGGCAGCAGAATGAGAGATGCCGCAGGGTGGCAGCCGGAGCCGGATGCCCAAGGGGGGTACAAAGTGCTGGGACACAGGGCTGGGGCTGAGCCCTAAGGGATCTGAAAGACGTTCAGCTTGCTGGTGTTCTTGAGTGTCTGGCGCCGGTTGCAGAACCAGACCCGCACGACCTCCCGGTCATAGTTGAGCTCCTTTGCAATCTCGGTGATCTCCTGGCCTGTGGGCAGTGGGTTCTTCTCGAAGTAGGCATTGAGAGCCTCTATGGCCTGGGGGGTGAAGGAGGTGCGGCGCTTACGTTTCTTAGAGGGCTCGCCTCCCACAAACTCCATCAGGTTCTGCTGACCTTCCTGGTTCCGGAGTTCAGCTTCATGTAGCCACTTCTCCAGCACCGGCTTCAGCTTCTGGGCGCTCTTGGGCGTGATGTCCAGCTTCTCAAACCTGTGGGTGACCCAGGTCCAGGAAGGGACAGTGACAGTGTCTTATTCCCCACCCCGGGCATGAGTGCTGGCCGCAGGGGGCTGCTCCTCCTGTCCCCTTACAACCCTCACTAAGATCCCCTGGCTTGGCCCAGCCCAGACTCCTCAGAGTGTCCTGTGTCCCAGGTCACAACAGGGAGACCATTCCCATGGCCTCAGTTTACAGTGCAATGATAACAGGGCAGCTGCTTTATGAACACCATTCCAAAACGTTCACACCCAAATGGGTGAGGTCCTTTGAGGAATCATGTTGAGAGGCCTCCAAAGATGGCAAATAGATGTCCTAAGTGCTGTCTTCCTCCAACTGCAGCATCACTAAGTCAGAATACTCTTTCTGGCTGAGCCCAGATGAGAGTACAGAATTCCCAACATGACACTGTAGCGTAATAATCACTCTAGTCTAATATATAGAGTTGGCAAGCAGATGAAACCTTTTGGCCATCCCTAAGCCATGTGCTTTTTTGAAAAAAATGGCTTAGGTTAGGGATGTGCTTTTTATCTTTCTTTTCACCATTTAAAAAAATTGAAATAGTTGATTTACACTTTACAATCAATTATAATACAGGCATCAGAACCTGCACACAGAAAAGTCAGTTACATCACTTCAGAATCATGTCTCATAAGAGGGGGAGGTGGAAGCATGATAGAGGTGATGGTGGGTTATAGTTGAGAACCAAGCCAGAACCGAAGTTCCCACTCTTGTGATTAATTTCATAAGCTGTACCCCTGTCCCTCTAGGATTCCTAACTGGATTAGGATCTTGGATTCCTCCTAAACAGACAATACAAACGCTCAGGATTGGAGGATAAACTTCAGAGGGCCCCAGAAAGACTCTGACTACTGCAGGTGTTCATGTCTAAGTGCCAGATACCTGAGCTCCTGTGAGTGTCCTGACCTTGTTCAGGCAGTCTTACTCACCGGCAGATGGCTGACTGGCTGTAGGCTGGGCCTTCCGTTGCAGTCAGAGCCTGACCCACCTGGGTCTGTGTGAGGCCCAGGGATAGCCGCCGGATCTTAAAGTTCTTGGCAAACTCCCGGATCTCTTCTAAGTTGATCCCGTCCTCATCCAGACTGGGGGTATGTGGCTCTAGGCCAGAGGAAAGGGGCAGGAGTGAGCGTGTAAGACAGACAATCATCTGTTTACCCAGCCCGTTGGCCTAGCCTGGTGAGTAGTGAGGGATCAGGACGTTTGACAAAAGGCCTGTGTACCCTTAAGACCCTCATCATTCCTGCCCCCAAGACAAATAAGACTTGGGAGCAATGGGCCAGGACCAAGGTGTCTGGAGATAGAGGTCTATTTTAAGTTCTTCCAGCTCTAACTGTTGACCGCCTCTAATTCTCCCCAGGCTGGCCCCACGCACACCTGTTAGCTCTCCACATTCTTCAAATACTGGTGAGAGACCATAGGAGAGACAGCCAATGGTTTGGCTTCTCAGAGAAGCAGCCAGACAGCCCGCTAAGCAGCCTCCAGCTCCGTAGAATGAGAATAAGAAAGTCAGTTCCTGGCAATGGGTCTCTGCTCTTCCCTTTTGGACTCCCGAAAGTTTACTAAGGGGAGCATCATCTAATGTGGTCAGGGTATCTGAATAAATGCCTCACCCCTTCGCCATACCCTTCCCTTGGAGCCACTTACTGGACACCAGCTGGCTGACCGTCGGGGTCTCTGAGCAGGTGATGGGGATGGGAGCAGAGGCAGCAGGCTTGGCCGCTGGGGCTGGGCTGGCGATGACCACGGCCGGCTGGGGCATGGCTGGTGTGGGCTGGATGGGCTGCACCTGTGAGAAGAAGAGCCAACAAACTCCCACTGCCCGCCTGCCTGGCTAGCAGGGTGGAGTCTCTGGCCTGTCCAGAGGCAGGGCAAAAGCGGGCATGGTATCCTCCCTCACCCAGCACACTTTTACCTGCGCCCCATCAGAAGGCAAGATTGGAAGCTATGTATTAGCACGCACCCCATGATGATGACCTCCAGAATAAGCACAGGATGTGCCCCACCGAGCCGGGGCCTTGTAGGTGTCTGTGACCCAGGCAGGTCAGAGGCTCAGAAAGGTTCCGCCTACTTGGTTAAAGCTGCAAGTATCCACCCTTGAGATAACTGCTGTCAAGTCTCTGCCCTCAAAGGAGAAACCTAAATCTGATCCTAGAGCCACCACACCCCAAATATCCATTAATGCGTGCGAACATGTATGCTAAGTCGCTTCAGTCGTTTCCGAATCTGTGCAACCATATAGACTGTAGCCCACCAGGCTCCTCTGTCCATGGGACACTCCAGGCAAGAATACTGGAGTGGCTTGCCATGCCCTCCTCCAGGGGATCTTCCCCACCCAGGGACTGAACCAGTGTCCCCTGTGTCTCCTGCATTGCAGGCAGATGCTTTACCTCGGAACCACCGGGAAAATCCCATATCCATTAATAGGTAACTGGCAAATGACTTTTGGGGCCTCACTACAGTAAGACACTGTACCATGAAAAAGAATATCTCTTAATAACTGCCATGGAAAGACCTCTGAGTCACAGTGCTAAGTGAAAGAAAAAAAAAAGTAAGGTGAAAAACAATTTTTATGGAATAATCCCTTAAAAAAAAAAATACGAATCTCCAAGAAAAAAAATTCTGGAGTCATATAAAGCAAAGTATCAACAGAAGTCATCTCTGGAAGTGGAGTTAGAAGGGATTTTTACTTTTTGACATCATACATAATGTTGGAATTTTAATAAACAGCTTATATCATGTTTACAATCAGGATAAACTATAAATATATGAAGTCAGTATCTGAAGTATGACTTTTTTTAAAGCTTCCCGAAAGTGCAGATTTCTCTAGGATGGGCCTTGTTCCCTGAATTCTGCCTCCTGGTAGCTTAAAGTCATTCCCTCGTCATCCCCAGGGCCTTGTTTGGAGCTCCTTGTCTCTGGTTAGAATTCTTTAAGTTGTCTCCTAATAGCTGAGGGCCAAAGAATTGATGTCTTTGAATTGTGGTGCTGGAGAAGACTCTTGAGAGTCCCCTGGACTGCAAGGAGATCAAACCAGTCAATCTTAAAGGAAATTGACCCTGAATATTCACTGGAAGGACTGACGCTGGAGCTGAAGCCCTGATATTTTGGCTCCCTAATGCGAAGGGCTGACTCACTGGAAAAGACCCTGATGCTGGGAAGGATTGAGGGCAGAAGGAGAAGGGGGCGACAGAGGATGAGATGGTTGGATGACATCACCAACTCAATGGACATGAGTTTGAGCAAACTCTGGGAGATGGTGAAGGACAGGGAAGCCTGGCGTGCTGCAGGCCATGCGGTTGCAAAGAGTCAGACCCGACTGAGTGACTGAACAACAGCAACAAATAGGACTCAAGTCTCACCACAGTCCAATTCTCGGCTCCACCTGGAGAGCAAAGGGAATTTTTTAAATACACATATAACTAGCCACTTCCCTGCTAAGAACTCCCCGGTGACTCCCCGTTACCTAATGTTAGTGATAACAATAAAAGCACCATTTTTTACACATTTTACACACATTTCACTTTGTGTACCAACTTTCTGTGTAATATATCCTTTAACATTCATAACTTAAGTTGGTACTCTTATCATTCCCATTCTACAGATGCTGCTGCTGCTAAGTCGCTTCAGTCGGGTCCAACTCTGTGTGACCCCATAGACGGCAGTCCACCAGGCTCCCCCGTCCATGGGATTTTCCAGGCGATAGTACTGGAGTGTGTTGCCATTTCCTTCTCCTTCTATAGATGAGGCTGAGGTTATTCAATGAAGCTGGGAAGCAGCATATCACATTTGAGAACCACAAGCCTCAATATCACCTAGGAACTTGTTAGAGATGTGACTCCTTCAGCCCCACTCCAGACCTACTGTATGAGACTCCAAGGTGGGGCCTGGAAATCTGCATCCTAGCCAGCCCTCCAGGTGTTCTTCGGCACACTCAAGTGTGAGAACCCCTGCTCTGGCACACTCTACTGCCTGCAGTTCTGTGGAAGTAGAAAAATCTCTCATCCAACCCATCCCTTTAGATTAGTTCAGCGTCGTACTCTGTGAAGCCTTGTCAAACTCCTCAGTCAGCAGACTGAGTTCCTAAAGCACCTTATCCTGCCCCTATCAGAGCCTTTGCCACACTGACTTTAATTGTCTCTGATGCTGGGCTACCTAAGGCAAGGAAGGGCATCTTATTCATCTCTGTATCTTCAGCACTAGAATACAGTAGGCACTCAAAAACCACTCCTAGAATGAACACGTGAGTGAATAATCGATGCCACAGTGCAGAGTGGAGGAGGGGTGGAGGGATGAAAGGGTGAAGAGGAGGCGGGTGCAGAATGAACCTCCCAGGGCCTTTCCAGCAATTTGTTCACCCTGGAGTTGATTGAGTCCCAGTTAACTTTTTTTTTTTGGCCTCACCCTGCAGCATGTGGGATCTTAGTTCTCCTACCAAGGATCGAACCTGTGTTCCCTGAATTGGAAGTACAGAGTCTTAAGCACTGAACCACCAGGGAAGTCCCAAGGCCCAGTTTACTTTGACTACCCTTCCCTGGCCTTCTCAGAGTGGCACTGGCCTCTGAGGGCACATATACACATGTTTGGTGTGTGGGGGGACGGGGTCAGGGTGGTGGTGGTGTTTTTCCGGGCAGAGCACATGTGAACTGAAGGGACCTTCTACCTTGCACCTCCCTCCACTTTGGGGAGGTGTCCTGCTTTCCCAGGGACTTTGGAAAATAATGTTGCCCTACCCACCCTCTGGAGGGAGGCCGCTCATGCCTGACAGCACTGCCTGCCACCCTCCCCCAACCCAGCCCTTGTACCTCACTCTTAGCAGGGGACTCAGGAGTGCTTGGCTTCCGGACAGCCACAGGAGGAGGCAGGGGGCTGCTGGCCAGGGTTGCGATCACCTGGCCCTGGGCGTTCAACAACAGCTGGGGGGTCACAGCCTGGACCTGCAGGCTTTGGGCCGGTGCTGGGGCCGCCACGCTAGCCGAGTTCACTACCCAAGGAAGTGTTCCAATAACCTGGGAGGAAACACAGGGACCCCACGTGTGAGGGCAGCGTCCAGTTCCACCCCCAACCCAAATCCCCACACCGGCAGGAAGGGACTTAGACAAGTCATCTAACCCCTCTAGGCCTAAGTGTCCTCAAAGTAAAGTGAAGGATTCACACCCTAGGGGCTGCTTCTCTATTCTCCAGAGCCTTGAGGGAGCAGGAGTGGGTCTACACGTGAAGCCCTGCTCTGCCACACTTTAACTAGCTTAATTTCTCCAAACCTTAGCCTTCTCCCCTGTAAAATGGGAACAAAAATCTCCACCCAACAGGTTGTACTCAGAATGAAGTGGGATAATGTACGAGAAAGCGCCTAGCACAGAACCTGGCCACAAAGCGGGGCTGCCTAAATGAAAACCCCCAACTAGAGTGAGCACCCAACCCAGGGTTGGGGTGGGGGCTATGCCCCCGCCGGGCCTCAGTGTCAGCAGAGAGCAGTCACACAGGCAGTAATGGACAGCGGCGTCTCACCCTGGTTGAGTTTCCATGACCCAGTCCTCCCACGCATGTGCCCTCCCCCAGAGCCAGCATCTCCACGGTCCCCACCCCTCCGCCTGGCTTTGACCACTTGCCTGACCCTGAGCGTTGGTGAGAATCTGACTGCTGATCCCCGGCATGCTGGGAATGGCGTTGGCAATGACCGGAGTTGTGGTGAGGGAGCCCAGGATCTGGGTCTGTCCCCCGAGGGAGGCAGCACTGATCTGTGGGTGGAGGAAGAGCCTTGCTCAGAGGCAACGGGCGAGAAAGAGCCCAAGGCAGAGGGATGAGGGCTGAGGGTATTGGGACAGGGGTGGGGGGTAACCGATGCTGGGCAGATACGAGTGTGGGCTGCAAGCCCAAGTCCACCAACTGAATGGTACCCAGGGCCAGGGGCTGCAGGAGGTAAGCAGGGAAGGGCGGGGCCACAGTCATGGAGGAGTAACTCTGGCTAATCTTTCAGGCCAGCCCTGGGAGAGTAGAAGGGCCAGGCTGGAGGGGCTGATGGGACTCTAGCCACATCTAACTAGAGGCCATCTATTCATGCCTAACAGCTCTACTACCAAGCCAGGAGCCACGCTGGATAGACACTGGCATGGGGCCGTGAGCCTCTAGCGCCACTTTAGCAGCAGCTCACAAGTTTGCAATCCCCAGACATCATCCCACCCTCCAAGGCTGGTCCATGGTCCAGGTTCTGGAAGGTTGGGCCAGCCCTCTTGGCAGAGGTTGTCTGCTCTTGGCTGGGATGTATGGGCTGACAGCTGCCTTGGAAGGAGCCCATCTCTGCTGAAGTGTTGGAAAAGAGCCGCATTCAAGAGGCTGGTCCTCCACCTCCATACTCCCCCGTGGCAAGGGTCAGGTTCACCCTTGACCAGAGATCCGGTCCATCCCTGGTGAGCCTTGGGTGAGGGCAGCAGCTTACGATTCCCGGGCTGAATGCGAAGCCTGCAGGCTGAACGGTGATCTGTGTGGGGGTGTCCACAGACTTGGGGGTGGGGGCAGTGGCGGTGGCAGCAGTGGGCTGCGGTAGAATGGCCGGTGTGGTCTGCAGCAGTGGCTGGGGCTGGAACAGCGTCTGGGGCTGGGCCGGTGGTCGGGGCTGGGCGGGCGAGGAGGCCTGGGCCGATGGGGCGGCTTGTACAGGTGCCGGGAGAGCGGTGTTCAGCACAGCAGCTGCTATGGAGCAAGGCAGAGACAGAGGCGCTCAAATGCCTAGCCGCAGGCCAGAGCAGCTCCAATCCCAAGGGATCTGGTACAAGAACGAGACGGGGGTCGGGGCACTGGGGTGAGGGCACAGGCTGCTGTTATTCCCTTGATCCTTGCAGGGGTGGCACATGCCAACATCTCTCATCCCCCCTCCCTAGGGCCTGGAGATGTGTAGGTTCAGAACCAGAAGTGGAATCTTCTTGCAGTCCTTCTCAGGAGGCTGGTCACAGGGTGAGGTCTGGCGTAGGGGGGAGGGCAGTCCAGACAGCTGGAGGAAGACAGGCCTGCTGGGCCAGCGTGGTGTCGTGGCCTAGAGTCCTGAGGTGGTGCAGCAGATCTCTGGCTGGGGGCCTGGGACACCAGATCCAGACTCCAGGGCTCTTGCCCTGGGAGGGCCGCGGGTTCAGAGTCCAACATGGCAAACACACGAGCAGGGAAGGTAGTGGAAGGTGGCGGGGGCCTGGTGCAGTCCTGGGGAGAGTTGCCGTTACCTTGGAGACCGGCTAAAGGTGGCTTGAAAATTCCCCCCGTGGGAGAAGCAGCGGTCAGTCCTGGGAGGGCAGCCACGGTTGCGGTAGGAATTGTCCACACGGCCAGCCCCTGTTGACCAGCCACTTGACCTGCAATACTGATGGGGATAAGAAGAGGTTGAGTAACTGCCCCTGCTGGAACCATAACTCCTGTCAGAACTGTGGCTAAGTTTTCCTGAGTCAAGACCTGCAAAAGCAAACAAGATTTCAAAAAAGAAAAGAAAAAATAAAAAATCAACATCAACAGCGCAAACGCTGGGTCGACCCAGCTGAGTACACACAAAGCATTCTGAGGGGAGGCGGGGAAGGCTGCATGAGGGCAGGGAAGAGATGAGCCCGAACTGGAGGCCCATCCCTGAGGAGGGACCTGGACTGGACGATCCCATCTTTGGAGAAGCAGCCCACATCAGGGGCAGGGCCCAGCCCTGCCCCAGGATCAGAAAGGGTCACAGGTCTCTCCCACCGTGGTCGGCTGCCTCCCAAGCCTTCCCTGGGTTTTTGCCCACGGGACCATTGCTTTGTGACCAGGAAGCAGAGGTAGGGGCTGGTGGAACTGAATCGTCAAGGCCCACAGAGGCCTCTGGAAAGCTATGATGGAAGACACTCCTGATGGACACCTTGGATATGTGTGTGCAGTGAAAGATGTCACAGGGTGCTCAGTCTGCCTGGAGGCCCCTGGAGCAGCTTCTCGCTGTGCTGGGGCTGCCCTCTGCTCTAAATGAGGAGCCATTAACTCTTCCAGGCACCCCCTAGAGGGGCTGACAAGGGTATTCACTCAATTAATCATTAGATGACTTGAAGGAGTCACTGTACTCTTATAATCCTTGCTGGACCCAAGGGGATTACCTGACAAATGCAGATTTACTTTTCCCAGGGGGCCTGATCTGGGACAGGGGAAAGGCCAGGGGTCCCTAGTAGGAGATTCCCTCCCTCAAGCCACAGCCCCTTCCCTGTTCTGCCTTATGAAGTTCCCAGACCCCATGGCTAGCCCATGTTGGCTATCCCTTGCCTTTCTCTTGCCCACTGTCCTCTGTCTAGCTCCCTGGGGTGGCCCTTACCTGGGGGGCAGTTTGTACAGCCAGTGGCGTCAGGGTCTGTGATGCCTGAGGCTGGCATGGAGCTTGGCTGAAGGTGGCAACGGCAGGGGCAGGGCTCAAAGGCATCCCCGGAAGCGACTTCACTTCATGCAGCATTGGGAGAGAGAGGGACAAGGAGTGAACCTGGAGTGAGTGGGACAACTCTCAGTGCCACCTTGCGTTTCTGCATAACCCGAGGCTGATCTCTGGTCTTCCCTGGCCCAAAGAAGGAGTTTCCCCAAAGTTACTGGTAGTGAGCTTGGGAGGCTGGAGAGCCCTGTGCCAGACCTGGAAGGTAAACCACCCTTGTCCCACATGTGGATGACAAAAATGCAGACCCAGGCACAGCTGCGTATCAGCCTCTCGTCTCCTGGCTTGGTAGGATGCTAGGACCTATCACATAACCAGCAGTAGAAATGAACATGTGTCAGGGAGAGGAGGAGCCAGGATCAATGGGATTGATTGGCTCATCCAGCAACTGGATCAACGGTCACTCTACCTCCAAGCTACTTTGGGGATGCAGTGCTGTCTCAGGGAAGGGGTAGGATTTCTGCAAGGTGAAGCCTAGGAAGTGACATGTCATGGCCACACTCAGGATCCCAGGGGCTCTCCAGGCCAGATAACTTTTATCTGCAATTCCCTGAGGCCTGAAGTCTGATGAGCAGCTTTTAGGAGGTTCTAAAGGAGCTTCCCATAAATTGTAGCTTTTCAACCAAGTGAGAGCTTTCTCTCACTACCTGGAGTTAGTTAGGTAGGGATGCCTACCAGAAAAACTCTTCAAAGTCACATAACAATATGGAGAAGGGTTATTTAATATATAGTGAGACATTACAGGGAGTCTAGTTGTTGGGTGTTAGACCAGATGAGTGGCTTCTTAATGGTGGCTGGGCCTAGGTTTCCAGATCCTATTCTAGGCCAACTGAGTCAGAATGTCCAAGAGTGGAGGCTGGCAACCTCACATCTCTCTCTTTTTCTTTTAAGCTCCCTGTGATATACCACACAGACAAAATGGGAACCACTGAACTAGAGAACCTTCCAAGCCTGCATTCCCAGCTCCTGTTTTAATCTGGGAAGGCACCAACTTAAGCCAGGATGATTAACAGTATACAATTTAAAAATCCAGATTGCTTCAAGGATGAAAGAGACAAGCAACCACAAAAACCATATAAAAATACCAAAGAAAACCAAACAGCAGATTTATGTCCACTGTGAAGGGAAATATATTTCTAACTGTTGAATAAAAATCAGAGAAGATGAGGATAATCTGAACCTCTGAGAATTTAAAAAATATTTCACTTGACAAAGTGTCATGAAACCGGGACTTCCCTCGTGATCCAGTGGTTAAGTCTGCCTTGCAATGCAGAGGACGTGGGTTTAATCCCTGGTTGGGAAACTAAGATTCCAAGTGTTGTGGAGCAACTAAGCCCGGGCATTGCAATTACTAAACATGTCTGCCGTAACTAGAGAGTCCTAGCGCCACAGTGAAGGACCAACGAAGATCCAATGTCCTGCACCTGAGATCCGACACAACCAAATAAATAAATAAAAACAAGCAACAATACCAGCTGTTGTTTATTTTTTTTAAAATTGTGATGAAACCTATAAAGGAAACTGAGGAAATGGAAATGTAACAAGCATGAGTGATGAAAGCTTACCATCTGAAGAAATAAGTCATTTCATTAGGATACATTTCCAGATTTTTTTTGCTTCCTGCTAGATTGCTTTTCAGGAAGATTGAACCAATTTGTGGAACCATCAACAATGTACCTGTTTCTCCACAGCACCACCCAGTTTAGATTTTATCACGATTTCTTTTTCTGGCTTCAGAGGCATAGATGGTACCTCTTGGCTGACTACTTTTCCTCTCATTGATAGCAAGGTTTTGTGTGTTTTTCCATGTAATGATTTCCTACTGTGTAAACAATTCATTTCTCTTCAAAAGGAATTTTAGTGGACTACACCTCAAAGAAAAATAGAATTAAAGGGCCATTCAAACCAGCTGTTTATGACAATGAAAAAACCAGGGAGTTTGATAATAGCCAAAGCCAAAATCAGTGAGTGAATCTGTTAATAAAGGACACAGAATATGAAATAATATGGTGGAAGGTGTCATACTAGTTAGCCTGCCCTCAGGGGCCACACCTATAAAAATATGTATGTGTGACAAGGTCTGGGTAATAGAGTGACACAAATCACTAGATTCTTTTTCCATCGGGAAAAAGTTTCCTATTCCTCAGCTTTAAGAGGAAACTCTTCTCAATATTTCATATGCAGAAATGTTCTATCAAAGCTACAATTTAAGATGGCAACTTCTTAGGAATTACTACCAACATACCTCCCCTACCTGCTTGACTGTGACTAAATTTCCTTTACAAAGAAGACTTTAATGAAAGGCTTAATTAGATAAACTTCTGGAAGAAGATGCACACTACCATGAACACTCATGCTAAGGTGTAAATTACTGGTTTTGGATCCATTTCTGAGAGTAAGTTTTGAGTAAGGAATAGAATTAAGGCATATGGAAGATGTATAAAAGGGTAAAAAAGAAAGGTAAGCACTGTGGGGGGGTTTCCCTGGTGGTTCAGTGATGAAAAAATCTACCTGCAGTGCAGGAGCCGCAGGAGACCCCAGGTTCAATCCATGGGTTGGGAAGATCCTCTGGAGGAGGGCATGGCAACCCACTCCAGTATTCTTGCCTAGAGTATCCCGTGGACAGAGGAGCCTGGTGGGCTACAGTCCATGGGGTCACAAAGAGCTGGACGTGACTAAAGCAACTTCACACACACACACGAACTGTGGACAAACCTGGAAAACCTGCTAGATTTCCTGAAAAGGGGCTCCATCCCCACAATGGCAAGGAATGGAAAGGGTGGCCGAGATGGAGAATCCTTGTTTTTCCTGCCCACTCACCAGGACACTGGCCCAGGACACTTCCTCAACAAGGAAGCAGAACATTGCCAGGCTAGGGAAAATGGTCATGTGTCTTGTCATTCCTTTGATCAAAAGGATAAAAAATAAAATACCAGGGTCCCAAATGGATCTACATACTGATTTGCAAGTACAGCAAGGGAGGTGAGATCTCGAAGTGTTTTCGCTTGTTTTCTGTTCTCTTTGCTCTCTTCATGGCTCTTCCTCTTGGCCCACCCCACCTCCCCCAACCAGATCACCAATCTAGTGAAGCGGTGAAGTTCAGCAGAAGGCAAGGCGAGATGAACCATGGCTTTCTGGGGGAACTGGCAAAGGAGGCCCCAGGCTTTCTGTAAAAAGAGATGTCTATTCTGCAAGGTGTAAATGAGGAAAGTCAACGAAAGGGTGCCCTGTGCCCAGAAAGCAGTGCCTACAACCAGTGCCAGCTTTTAGAACAGCCTGGCCATCTCGCAGCTGTACTGTAGGGTCATTAGGGGAGACAGTGTGAGTCAATCATTCCCCATGTAGGAGAATCAAACTCATGCCCTAAAGTCACCTTTGGAGAAAAACAGCCCAGATAAGCCCACCAGGCTAGACGCATGTCAGTCTAGCCAGGAGTGAGAAGCTGTGATTCTACAAGGCCCTCCCTAACACACATTCTTAGCCCAATGTGGGTAAGATGCCCTTCCATCCCCAGCTCCTGGCACCTCCCAGCTCCACCATAAAAGGTACTGATTTTCAAGGGCTGGCAGTATCCTAAAGGTTAAGTCCTCTCTGCCTTGAGCCTGAGGGTCTGGTTTAGACCTGGGAGCCCTCTCTGAGGTTAATGCAATCACCTCTGTGTGCACGTGCAGTTACGGCAAATTCTGAACAAAAGATAGAAAGAGATCAAAAAACCCAACTGCCACTTTTGAAGAGCTTAGAGCAAAAGCAGAGGACTGCGTGTGGCCCCTACACACACCACCTAAGGAATGGGCAAAACACCTAAGCCACCCCTCCAGCTGACCCCTGGACACATCCCTACCTTCACCCCATATAAGGAACAAGCTGGTCCTCCCTCAGGGAGCGAGCAAGCAAGGGAACGTGTTGCTTGTTCTCGCTTCCCTCTGCTGCAGCAGGGGCCCCAGGAAAGCCTTGTCTGAAAATAAAGAAAATGCAATCCCCTCAGCTGAGCCCCACCACTCTCCTCCCACCTCACCCTGACCCATCCCAGTTTAGGTCTATAAATAACTGAAAACAGTCCCTCATTCCAGGGATTGAGGAGTGGCCAAGGAGCTGAACAGCGGTACAGGCTGTGACCAGAGGCCTGCTCAGTGGACAGGAAGACAACACACCCCTAAAGCCACCTAGCCCCCCTGGGATTCATGCTGGCTCCCCAGGGGGAACACGGGAAGGGACTCAGGTTTGGAGCAATGGTCCCTGGGAGCAGTGGCCTCGTACCAGTTGCCTCCACGGAGGAGTCTGGGTGGTCTGGGCCAGCTTCACCAGCAGCTTCACCAGCTTCAGCAGGGCCTCCGCTCTGGGAGCCCTCGGTGGCCACAGCCTCCAGCGCTTTGCCCTCCTCCTCAGCAGGAATCTGGGCATCCACTCCAACCTCCAGAACTCGGATGGTCTCATGGCCTGACATCACGATGACCTGTGAACAGAGGAGAGGGACATTGCTGGGGAAAGAGGCTGCGAGGGATACTGCCTCCAGGGAGCTAGAGCTCTAGGTATGACTGAGGCAGAGAGGAGAGAGCATCTCAGATTGCAGACCTGTCCTGAGGACTGTGTGCTCTGTGAGAATTCCCAGAGCCTGAAGCTCCCTGATTCCAGGGAAGGAAGTGCTAGGAGAGAGCAGGCCCTGGGGGCAGGGGGAAGGGTCTGACACAAGCTAGAAAAAGTCCCACTGAGCGAAACCACTTGCAGACATTTCTGTTTGCTCCCTCTCTTGCTCTCAGTTCAGGGACTGGTAAATGGCCTCACCCACAGCCTTGCCAGGATGTCTCCTTGGCTGCTAGGATACTGGAGTGTGGTTAGGATGATCCCTCACACAGGACCCACAGCTTCAGCTGGGGCAAGACAGGAATCCCTCTGCATGTCCCTCCAGACATTACAGGAGTGGAAAATGAATGCTCCAGGATGCTGAGGAACTTTTGAAGTTCATGGTTCCTTAATGTCCAAAACCCTGAGGTCAGAGGCCATAATTTCCTTGCAAGCTAACTTCTTGAAGCGAGGGTCAGGAATTCTGAGGGCGTGGCCTCTCGCTGGCCCTCCTGGACTAGAGCTCTGTACCCTGCAGACCTGCAGCTCCAGCGTGCCATCTGGTGTGTGCATGCTCTAACCTTGCACCTCCTTGAGGGGAGCCCCATGCAAAGTGATGCGGGTGGCCCCTGGGCCTCCTTGGAACACTGAGTCTTCCTTCCTGCTCAGCCAGCCAGCATTTAGTGCTTTACCTCCAGCACTGACAGGCTTCCACTTGGGTCATTCAAAAATCAGGGACACCCTGTACATTAAAAAGCTCTGCATCAGGCCTTCCCTACAAATCTCCTGGGCCCAAAGCCACTCCCACAATACACTCCTTGGGACTGAAAACTGGATCCAGCCAGAGACTCTGCTGGAAAAAAGGAGCTATGTGACCCATCAGGGGAGTATGAGTGAAATAACCTTCCCAAGCAGTTCCCTTTCTGAATCAAACCTGACTATGAGAAACTTAACTCTAATTACATTTTAAGAGCTGTTCATCTTTTTTTCTCCTTTTAAAAATACGTAAGTATTTTTACATAAAAAATACATAAGGAAATTCCCTGGTGGTACAGTTGTTAGGACTTGGTACTCTCACTGCCAGGGGCCTGGGTTCGATTCCTGGTTGGGAAACTAAGATCCCGCAAGCTACAGGTATGGCCAATTAAAAAAAAATTTATATAAGTAATAAAAGGTCATTGAAGGAAAAATTAGAAAATGATATATAACCAAGAAAAATAAATAAGTTCCCTGATACCCAAATCTTTCCCCATATTAACTTATACATATTTCACTTTTTAAAGTCACAACTAAAGTCCCCAAACCCAGCCCCTGAAAAATCCTAGCTGGCAGCCACATCTGGATGAGTCAAGTGACCAAGAAAGTTGGTAAGAAACAGTCAACAAGGGCTCTACGGAGTTTTCCTCCTTGCCCACACACCTCAGTCCATCCCCCTACCCCTCCCCACCCCCACCTCTTCCTGCTCCAAAAGATACCTGCTCATTGACAGTCAGAGATGAGTCTGGCCCGGCTCCAGGATCCATGGTCACTTCTCAGGGTGGGGTGGGGGCTGGCCCACACCTACACATTCTGCAGGGTGAGATGAGATGGGAAAAGCAAAGGCTGATGTGACAATGTAAGACAATTTCCATATCATCTCAGAAAGTCAGAAGTAGAATGGTAGGAAGAGAGAGAAGCTAAGTTCTCTCAGGTATGTGTAGAAGTGAAGGAAATAGGATTCTAAGGATTTTAAAATTAAAATGTCTGACTTCCTGCAACATCCTAGGACAACCTACACTCAGGAGGAGCCAGGGTAACAAGAGGAATGGGGCGGGGGGGTGGCCAGACGTCTGTCCCTGGGAGTTCTCCAGTCCAATGGGAAAGAGCAGACCCAGCAGAACCCAAAGTGATTTTGACCCAGACACTCAGAACCAGACACAAGTAAGGAGCACTCTGGGTATCAGAGCAATTCTCAGGGGCAGGGTCTGAGCAGACTTCCTCAGAAGAGATGGCAAAGATAGGAATAAATTGAAACAGTTGTCTCAGACTTTAATGTGCCTGGAACACATTAAACTTGCAGACTCCCCCCACCCCAATTTTCCCAGACCAAACATCTCCAGGGAGTCTGATTCAGTAGGTGGGCCCCTCAGGGGTTTCTGTGGCAGCGGCCCAAGAACCACACTGGCCTTTAACACGGGAGGCAGGACAACACACCAGATGGTGGAGCAGCTGCCCCGTGCACAGGGAGCGACAGAAGACTTTGTGAGGACAGACGGGCTGGCTGGAGCCACTAACCACAGTCACAAGAAATAAAGGTAATAACTAGGACAACTGGTTTTAGACGCTGAAATAGAGAAGAAGCAACTAACATTTTTATTCTGAGTGCCCACTGTGCTAAGCATTTTATGGAATACTAATTCACATACTACTTATGCCAGCTGGGGTATGGGAATATTAGCATCACCATGTTATACAGATGAGGACACTCCGCTCGGAGAAGTGTTCTAGATTCCTCACCTTTCTCTTCCTCCTCCTCTTCTACCCCTGGGTTTTTTTCACTGGGCTTCCTTGTTGTTATTTGATTAATGAGGTAAAATTCACATGACATCAAGTTAAATGTACAACTCAATGGAATTCAGTACATTTATAGTACATTTACAGTGTTGTAAATGTAACCATCACCACTATTTAGCTCCAGAGCATTTTCATCCTCCAAAAGGAAATTCCATGTCCATTAGCAGTTACTCTCCTTTCTTGCTCTTCGCAACCACGAATCTGCTTTCTCTTTTTGGATTTGCCTCTTCTCAGTATTTCACAAGGGCTTTCCTGATGACTCAGATGGTAAAGAATCTGCCTACAATGCAGGGACCTGGGTTCAATCCCTGGGTTGGGAAGATCCCCTGGAGAAGGGAATGGCTACCCACTCCAGTATTCTTCCCTGGAGAATTCTATGGACAGAGGAGCCTAGAGGAATACAGTCCATATTCATAATGACTCAGACATGACTGAAAGACTAACACTAAATTTCATATATTAATAAATGGAATCATTTGACAGGGGGCCTTTATGTTTCTGGCTTCTTTTACTTTGCAGAATATTTTCAAGGTTTATCCATAGCATGTATCGGCGCTTCATTTCATTACATGGCTGGATAAAATTTCATCATATAGGCTCTTTCACTCTCCAGGGAAGGCAGAGGCACAGGTAAGTCAAGACTTCGTTTCCAAGATGGAAAGTCCATCAGACTCAGCTGTGACTTTACCCAGCACTCTGCATGTCTATGCCAATCAACCACCTCCCCATACGAATAGTTCAAGAAAACAACCTATGAGTGCAACACTTAAAGGACAATTAAGCAAAACAAGATCTTCATTTAATTCTCATAAATAAATGGAGTGTTAAAGCATCTCAAAGTTGAGAATGAAAAAAACAATCAGATCTTTTCAGAGAAGACAGGACCCTTAGCAAAAGAAAAACTGTTTGGAATTTCAAGAAAATTTTAAACACACAGTGAGTTAAAGGAAGTTTATATTTGAAAAATACTTCAAAGAATATTGATGCAGGACTTCCCTGGTGATCCAGTGATTAAGACTCTGCACTTCCAGTCTGGGGTGGCAGAGGGAGACAGGTGCAGGTTGGATCCCTGGTCAGGGAACTAAGATCTCATATGCCACACAGTGTGACCAAAAACAAACAAAAAATGATGCATGTGAATCTAAATCACTGGATACTGAGTCATGCAAGGTCCTCCAAAACGATTTTGTGAATGAGAATCTTTCCAAACAAGGATTAAATGAAGAAAAAGCCAAATCGGTGAAGGAGATTCCAGGGAAAGATCTTCAGAGGCTAAAACTAGTCAAAATGTACCACTCAAAGAATGATCTGTCTCAGTTACAGTTGTTAATAAGGAAGCAAAGACACTGTAGTTAATGTTGCTCTGTGAGGGGCAATCAACTAAGTCCCAAAAGGACAAGAAACTGAACCTCACCCAGTTGATAGATCACTGTGGGTAAGATGATAAATTGCTCCACTGTAACAGAAATGAAGATGAATTCATAAGAGTTTCATTCATAATTCTTTCTCCAGAGAGTCTCTGAGAATGACAACATAATAAAAAAGATACTTGCACATTTTAAAGAGAAGGTATAAACCACTAGAGCTTAGAGAAGGGTATCCTGATGAACACCAATTTATGAAGCTTGTTATTATCCAAATATAAACCAAGTTCTAAAATAAGGTTTCAGTATTTTTGAGAAATCTGCCAAAGGAAACATTTAAATAAATATGTGAAAATTTTTAATAGTGATTAAAAAATAACTTGGACAATTTTGGAAGTCAGTTTTAATACATTGTTCTGTTTATTGTGGTTAAAAAAAAAAAGTTTTACTGTAAATGTTAAAAAACAGTCCAACTTGATAAATGTCTAAACTTAAATGGGTCTAAAAATGCCGGCCTCTCTTATTTTATGACTCTTGTTTCTGTCCACTTATCACATATTTCCATCTGGATAATTTAGTACATAATTAAACTCATATGTCAAAAAAAAAATCCCATGGTATGGATATGCCATATTTTGTTTATTCAATCATCCGCTGATGGATATTTTGGTTGTTTCTACCTTTCTGCTACTGCGAATAGTGCATCTATGAATCTTTGTATACGAGTTTTTGTTGGAACACCTGTTTTCAATTTGGGGGTATATACCTAGGAGTGCAACTGCTGGCTGACCCCAGGGGTTTTAGGGGTTTCACTCCTATGACTATAATAAATAGCACATCTGGATGGCCTGCCTCCTTTGAGCTCATAATGTCATGCAGTGTCCACAGCCTGAGAGCAATGAAGAGCGACGATTACCTGTCAGTTTTGAGAGAAGGGGCTCCTGTGATTATCCTAGAAGTAGAGCCCCGGTGCATACACAGGTCACGGCAGAGCTGCTTTGGTTAAAGCTGGGACAGGAGCCAGTGTCCAGGCACAGCACGCCCCTTTGCCTCCTTTCTCCAGTGAGCTGAGTTTGAAAACTACCTGAATCAAACCTGTCAAGGCTAACAGATGGCTCACTTGTCGCTGGCTTCCCTGTGCTAGCATCTGAGAACACAGCAGCCTCAGAGTGAGGATAAACAGCAGGTACGGAGGCATATGTCTCCATCCCCAAAATCCAGAGGTCCAGGACCATGCAGGACTCTCAGTGGTGGAAAAACTGAGTTAGAGGACCTTGTTCTACTTATCATTCTCCTTTGGGAAATGCTTTGGGTTTAAGGTAATCTTCCAAGATACGCAGGAGGAGCAATGAAGTCTAAAACAAATCAGAACCCCCTAGAATAGCCTGAGATCCTACAAGAAAAATCCTGAAATGCTTTGTCCTTTGTTTATTCAACAAATACTTCAGTGGCCACTATGTGCTGGGCATTGGGATACAGTGGGAAAAAGCATGTTCCCCAGCTTTGTCAAGAAGTCAACAGTCTAATACGGGCATCAAGGAAATAAAAAGGTAACGACAATATAGTATGTTTAAGTGTCATGGTGGATGAATAGAGGGTGACAGAAGATACACTGGAGGGATATCTAATGCACTTTTATGTGGTCCTTTGCCCCTTGTTCCAGGGTGGCATGTATTTCAGACATAAAATTTGATAGTACATGAAGCATCTTGTGACATATAGAGGAAAATGGAATTTGTTATATGAGATTGACTTTTAATGCAGACTCATCTCTGTGATTTTAATCACTTTGTACTTTAATGTGGTTGAGGTTTCCAAGAGGTAAAGTACCTCTCACTATAGTCATTTTGGGGGATGGAGAGTATTCCGCGTGGATTAAAGGAATGAATGGAATGAGTTTAACTGGTATTTAATAGAAAGTCACATTTGTTATGGGAAATTACCTTTCAAATTTTTGACATAATCCTCTCACATGAGATTGTATGTTGACATTAGCATCTCCAGCTCTACATCACTTCTATATTTAAATTGTGCACCAACTTACCTCCTGCAGGGCTGCCATCTAAAAAGGTCACAAGGCCAGGAAGCAGGAAGCAGGAGATTAGTACAGACTGGTAGTTGGAGTTGAGCCAGATTATCCAGACAAGGATGGTTTCCTGAGGTGGTCTCACCCAGCCTGACAGCCGCCAGCTGAGACCTCACCTGGGAACTTCAGACTCATATAATCCAACTACCTACTGATTGCTTACAAGATCTTATACTTAACATATTCAAAATCAAACTCCTGATTTGCACCCCAAACCAGCTCCACCTGCCTGCAGCCTTCCCCATCTCAGCAAATGGCAGCTTCATCCTTCCATAGATGCTCAGGTTGAAAACCTTGCTGTCATCCTTGCCTTTGCTCTTATATTTCCATCTATATTGATTTCTTCAAATCCTGTTGGCTCTCCCTTCCAGTGCACCCAGAATCCCTCCACTTCTTACGACTTCCATCATGGTCCATGTAGTTGTACCTGATGCAAAGGAACACAAGATGACATCCCCTCTTGCATGCAAGCATCATCTGCTCTGTTCTTAAACCATCAATCTTCAGGTGGGTTGCTACATTTTTCAAGTTTTCATTTGCTTGATGGATTGTCTGTATGTTCTCCCACCCTTCTCCATTTCTGGCCCCAGGACATAGATTTCCCTTCCCATCTGCTGAAAAGTAATCATTATTAATGATTAATAAAAATACTGTTAATGATTAATAAAAAACTGTTAATCATTATTACTAGTTTGTTGGCCCTGGGATAAATGATAATGGAAAAGACGATTAAAAAAAAGGTATGTGTGTGTATAACTGAGTCACTTTGCTATACAGCAGAAATTAATACAACATTGTAAATCAATGATACTTCAATTTAAAAATAAATTTAAAAAATAGTTTATGGGGACCCAGCCCCTTTATTCATAGGACTACACTGAGCACTCTTTGGAGACAGACTTTTGGGTTCACAATCTCAGCTTTGATATTCCCTAGCTGTGGACTTCGGACAAATTATTTAACCTCTCTGCCTCAGTTTCCTCATCTGTAAAAATGAGAGTAATAGTACCTACTTCATAGGGCTATTATGAAGACTGAATAAATTAATGCACATAAAAAGTTTAGATCAATGACTGGCACATAGTAAGTGCTGAGAAGATGGTAGCTATTATAAAAATTTACATATTCTCCAGGCAAGAACACTGGAGTGGGTAGCCATTCCCTTCTCCAGGGAATCTTCCTGACTCAGATATTGAACCTGGGTCTCCTACACTGCAGGCAGATTCTTTACCATCTCAGCCACCAAGGAAGCCCTTACATATATTATCTCATTTAAATTTAGTACAGCAGTTAGGAACCTAGGTTTGGTAACAGGTCTTTCTGCCTCAGTCACCATATTTGAAACGGGAATAACTAAGCGTTGTAGTAAATTGTGTAAGGGTTCAATAAATATGAACCGTTAACTATTATTCAATTTTGACACCAGCCCCATGAGGCCACAGAGCAAACACATAGTAAAGCTTGACCACCTGTGTGACAAGTAGGCAGATTACTTCCATTTTTTTCAGGGATTAAATAATAAGAGAGCTTATCTTGGAATTACTGTATAAAGCACAAATAACAATTAGCTATTACAATTCTCATTTTTATTGAAGAGAAAGTTGATGATCAAAGAGAGATAATGGAATAGGCTTAGGAGAAAAACCTAGATCAAATCCCAGCTTGGTCATGAAATAGCTGTGCCATCCTGGGCAAATGACTGAATCTCTTTGAAGTTTAAGTTCCTTATCTTTAAAATGCTGATTAAATGGGCAAGCCTTATGCGGTTGTTATAAAGGTGATATGAGATTAGGGCTTCCCTGGTTGCTCAGACAGTAAAGAATCAGCCGGCAATGTGGGAAACCCAGGTTCAATCCCTGGATAAGGAAGATCCCCTGGAGAAGGGCATAGCAACCCACTCCAGTATTCTTGCCTGGAGAATTCTATGGACAGAGGAGCCTGGTGGACTGCAGTCCATGGGGTAGCAAAGAGTAGGACACGACTGAGCGACTAACACTTTCACTCTTTCATGAGATCATGCAAGTAAAATGCTTAACACTGTATTCTTACGATGATCCCCATCTTTATCTATAGGAAAATGGAGGTGGAGAGATGTCAGGTGACTTGCTCAAGGGCACAGTCCATGACCTTCAAACTTCAAGGTCACATCACCTGCCCCAGATTTCTATTCTCCTGACACCACACTTAAGCCTTCATTCAGGAAATGGGAGGAAGGCTGATGGGGACTGCTCTGGCCCCCAGGGATCAGGACACAGTGGAAAGCGGAAGCTCTCAATTCTGCTCCAAATTGTTCCAGTGGTTAAGACTCTGAGCTTCCAACACAGGGAGTGTGGGTTCAATCCCTGTTTAGGGAACTAAGATCCCACATGCCTTGCGGTGTGGCCAAGAAATAAAAACGGGCTTCCCTGGTGGCTTAGATGGTAAAGAATCTGCCTGCAGTGTAGGAGACCCAGATTTGATCCCTAGATTGGGAAGATCCCCTGGAGAAGGGAATGGCAACCCACTCCAGTATTCTTGCCTGGGAAATCCTATGGACAGAGGAGCCTCATGGGCTATAGTCTACGGGGTCACAAAGAGCTGGACGTGACTGAGCGACTTACACTAATCAGTTTACCTCTCCCAACCCCAATTCATGGACAGAGATAAATGACTTGCCAAGCTATTGGCAGACTAGCTAGCCACACACATGGGCCAGAAGGAGAGGAAAGGGCGAAAGACAGGACAGTAGTTAACAAACATACTTCTTTCCCAACCAACCATTTGTAAATTTTAGACATATATAGTCAAACAGTAAAGACCTGTTTTATAAAGACACATTTAGATTTAGTTTCTCCTCCTGCACCACCCCCCACCCCCTTGTGCCCAAACTTGATTCATCCCAGGCAGGGTGAACAGAGGGGGTAAATGTGAAAAACAAGAAGAAGTATGTTCCTCTACTAGACTTTAAGGGCCAAGAAAGCATATCCACTTACCATCATATCCCAGAGCCTCATAAAATTCCTGGTACACAACAGAGGTTAATGAATACGAGCTGAAAACATAAATTATGATATCAGATCATACTCTTTTAGTCTCCTCATATTTCCTATCTTTTCCTCAAAGTACACAGCCTATTTCAAATTTCATGCCCTCATTTTCAATACTAGGGATACTTAAAAATGATTTCAAAGAAGTAGTATTAAGTTCTTAAGAAACCCGGTCACACTCATCCTCTCCTAATGTGCCAGTTCAGCTCCTCATTCCCAAGTCTTACTTCATTTGGCCAGTTTCTCCCGAGTCCCATTCTCTCTGTGGCCTCACTGACCCTCATTTTGACACAGAAAGAGCTTGGGGTTCAAAGGCAGAAGACTCAGATTGAGTATTGCTTCTGTTTAAGGTAACACCTCACAGCCTGTTTCCTTATCTGTGAAATGGGGCTAAATTCCAGTGCCCACCTCATGGGCTCTAGTTAAATCACTAAGATTTATGTAAAGCTTTTGGAACAGGGTCTGGCACACAGCAAACACTACGTAATTGCTTTAAGTTGAAGTAAACCACTGTTCTTAATTGTAAAGTGTTATAAAAAACATGGAAGATTACTACTATGACTTTACAGTGAGCAAATCTTGGGGAGGGGGGATATGATTTTGTCCCATGTTCCTTCATAATGCCAAGACTCCTTAGAAAAGCAAATTTCTTCTGAGTCATCTCTTAATTGCTAGGTAGTACTTCCAAGAAGAGAATAACCCATCTCCTTCTCTCTCTCTCTCTCTCTCACACACACACAATCACTTTATATTATCTTGTTTTTTTCATGTTTATGATCTGCCTGTCCCCATCTCCATCCCACCCACCAAACTGGAATTAAAGCTCCAAGACAGGGCAAATTCTGTCTGTATTGTTCAGAGTTGGCACAGAGTGGCTATTTTTGTTGCCCTGATGGACAAATAAATGAAGGTCTACAGCAAAGAAATACCAGATCACAGAAATAACACCCTGAGAAGCTGGATGTCAATCAAAACGAAATACATGGAATTATTCCTCAGAAGGCCCTGCTGGTCAACGGTGGCTGCCTTGGATCACCAAGAAAAGGGAGGTGGGAAATATGTTCATGAACAATTGAGGACCAGCCTTCTACTTTGGGAGCAAGGAATTTGAAAGCGCAGATCCCAGCTCTCCGCAAAGAGCTTCTTTCTATTAGCGAGGCAGGCTTTACAGCCGCGTTTTCTTTTCCCCCACAGCCGGCTGCGGAGGCTGTTTTGCGAAGATTTGGGGCTTCCAATGACAAATGAGTAGGGGACCTCAAGGCGAAAGTGGAGGTTGCAAGGCGCCCTGCGGCTCCCTTGGCCTTGCCAGATGAGGATGCCCAGGGAGCACATAGCGGGTCCATTATGATGACTATTTATTAATAATAATATTGTTATTAAATATTTATGAAGTGCTTGTGCTCGGCTAGACGGTGACCCTCCCACCACTCTCCCACCCTTCCAGCAGCACCAGGTCCCTAACCCCGAGTCCCACCAGTCCTCCCGGTGTATGGTGGTTGGAGAGAATTGTGACAGGTGGCTCTGGCCGCCTCATTTGACCTTGACTGCTGGGAACCCAGGCGTCCGGGTTCTCCAGTAGGGTGACAGTCCTTTCGCGGTCGCCACGGGGGCTGGGTAAAGAATGTCCCCGTGGTCCATACCCAACCTGGGCTCCCGGAGCAGAAATGGGGAGGGGCCAGGTCCAAGCTCCCCACGGGGTCCACCTGGCGGCCGCCCCCTCCTCCCCTCGGCCCCCGCGGGCCGGCAGGAAGGCTAGGGCGCGGCCCCCGGGGTCTCCGGCCTCCAGCGAGCGGCCACACGCCATTCAGCTCCCGGAGCTCCCCGCCGCCCCGGCCCAACATCCCGGCGCCCCGGCCCCGCGGCATTTTTTTTTTCTCTTTATCATAAATATATAAATTATGCTAATTACGGACATTGCATATTAACCAAACCCGAAACCTCCCCTGCCCGGCCCCCTCCCCCTCTGTGCAAACCCCTCCCCGCCCCGGACCCCGCTACTTACCGGAGCCCGAGCCCGAGCTGCCTTCGCCCCGGGTGCCCGGCGGCCACCGATTAGAGATTCATCTCACAGCTCGGGCCAGGGGGCCAGGGGCCGGGGCCCGGGGGCCGGGGCAGCCGCCACCCGCAGACAAAGAAGCCAGTACGGCTTGGCTGGGCTCGGCTCGGCCCGGGAGCCGGTCGGGACCCGCCGCCGCCCCCGGGCCCCCGGCCCGGGCTGGCCAGAGCCGAAAGGGACTCGGCGGGCTGCGCTGGGCGGAGGGGGGACGGCTGGGAAGGGAGAAGGGGAAGCAGGGTGGGTGGGGGGGCGGTCAGGTATATATATATATTTTTTCTTCCTTTCCCCCTTTCCACGGCCCCCCCTTTTCCCTCCCCCCCCCTCGTTTTTTTCCCTCCTTCTGCTACTTGGATTTTTTTAGCTGCTGCGTCATGAGCATAATTTATGCAAAGAGCTTTGCCGCATGCTGCACCGCGCGCGCCAGCCGCCGGGGGCGGCGGGCTGGGCGGGCCGGCAGGGAAGGGAGGGGATCTGGGGAACTGAGAACGAGCGATGGTGGGGGCACCCCAGCCCCTTGCCACCCCCGCTCCCAGAGACCCCACAGGCTAGCTCCCCGGACCGGAGTGGAAAGTCGATGGGGCGGGTCAAGCAGCACCGCTCCGAGGAGCATCCTGAGGTCGTTTCATTTTGGAAGGTGCAAGAGTAGGGAGCACAGAAGTCCAAACTGGAGACCCTATGCCACATTCCCGTCAGCCTAGGGTTGAGGCGGTAACTCCCAGCGGCCGCCCTGTCCTCTCTAGCTTGGTCAGTTGCCCTGCTCAACGTTGAAAGTCAAGTTCGTGTCCATTCCCAAGTCCCCGGCTGGGCCCCCACTGTGAGAAAAGGGAGGGAACTCAGCCAGACCAAAACCACCGCCCAACCAACCTCCGGAGCAGCTGTGCCCGAGCTCCATCTCACCCGGGGGGAGCGGGGTGAGGAGGTGGGAGGCGTGGGGGCCTGGACCCGAAAGCCCCCATATACACACCTCAATAGCCGCTGTCTAGAGACTAGCTTGCCTGCTTTCTTGACCAAGTATATGAGGAAATGTAAAAAATAGACAAAGTTCAGTGGCATGGAGCAAAAAGAAAAACCTAACGTTCTGCTTTGGTGGTGGTGATGTCGGGGAGGGTTTGGTTTAAGAGGCTCCTGAAGGTAGGGAAAGGGGAAGGGATAGAGAGAGGCACTGTTTGAGGCTGAGGGAAAACGGACCGAGACGTCGTTGGCAAATAAAAGAGGAAGGAGTTGGAAGAACAAAGGGGAAGAGAAAGAATGAGGGAAGAATTGGGGAGGGAGGAGGCTCTGTAAATCCAGCGACTGTGAGTCCCAGCTTTGAGACCTAGAGAGACTGCCTTCAGCCTGGGCTGCTTCCCCTCTGCCCCGCCATCTACTGCCCTCCTCCCCCGACCCCCACCCCCAGATTTGGTGGCTTATCTTTTGATGAGGTAAGCATAGACGAGTTAGAGGTAATGTGAGGAGAATGAAGGGGAGCCCTCGGCCCACTGGCAACTGTTCACCCGCGCCCCCACCTCCATGGAAGGAAACTGCAAGGGAGGGGAGAGCAGGAGAGCGGAGCAGCACCAGGTGGTAGATCGTCTCTACACACTTTTCCAGAACCTTACCTGCACTCGGCAGATCTATGAGTAACCCATGATTCCAAGGTAGAATATTTAGGGTTTAGCCCCTACCATTCCACTAACAGTTCAGGCAGGTAATTTAACTTCATTACTTACTTTTCTATCATCATTGCTTCACGGGGTCAAGAAGTTTAACTGTGTGAGCTTGTATGTGAAAGAACTTTGAAAAACTCTGATATACAGTTGTAAGGTATCATTACCTGTGCAGTAGTTTTAATCTGTTTAAACTGGCCTTGTGAAGCTGATACATGACAAATTTACAATTCGTGGAGGTTTTGTTTGGTCTTTTGTCCCTATTGTCCCTTGCCTTAGGCTGTAAATTTCTTGAGAGCACAGATGGTGACAACTCATTTTTGTATTCCCTACTGCTGTTTTTGTGAAGAAGAGGCTCTGTATTGCGATTGAATGTTATCACATGAAGACAAAACTCTTAGTCTATGTTGATGTGGTTTGGTGCCACACACAGATAAATCAAATGCATGATATCAGGGACAGTATAAAGAAAGAAACAGATGTGATCAAAGGGGTCCAGGGAGACAGACATGAGAATGGTAATTGTGGTTTTCTTTGGAAAAAGGAAGCCTTAAATTTGTATTGTATACTCTTCTGCCTAAATTTTTGATGCTGAACATATATTACTTTTTTGTTGGTCTAAATTTTTTATTTATCGGTTATAACATGCACACAGTAAAGTACACAAACCCTAAATGTACATATTGATGAATTATTTATATATACATAAAACATTTATTTTTATCTACACGTTACATTATTTACACATATTATTTACATATAAAATAGATTATATGTTATTTACATATAATATTTTTTATAACAATTGGGGCTTCCCTGGTAGCTCAAACGGTAATGAATCTGCCTGCAATGAGGGAACCCTGGGCATAATTATAATAATTACATTTTATCATATATCACACATATATATTTTATAAACATATACAAAATCACCACCCACAATATGATATAGAGCATTTCCAACACCTGAGAAGACTTCTCTGTGTTCCTTGATAGGTAAACGTCCAATTATCACTATAGATTAATTTTACTGGTTCTTGAACTTCATCTAAATGGAGTCAGACAGTATGTGTATTCTTTTGTGTCTGGTTTCTGTTACTCAACACATGTTTTTGAGATTCACCCATGTTGTTGTGTTTAACAGTTTATTACTTGTTCTTTTATACTGCTCTATACATTCCATTGTATAACTATACCACAATTTATCCATTCTACTATTGATGGGCATTTGAGTAGTTTCTCTTTTTGTCTTTTATGCATAAAAGCTGCTCTAAACATGCTTGTATAAGTCTCTTAATGAATACATGTACTTATTTTTCCTAGGTGAATATTGAGGAGTGGAATTGCTAAGTTTGGGGTATATGTTCAACTTTTTATTGGGTTGGCCAATAAAAAACTTTGAGTTTGGGTTTTCCGTAACATCTTACAGAAACTTTTTGGCTAACCCCATAGATAATGCTCCCCTGGTGGCTCAGACATTAAAGAGTCTGTCTGCAATGCAGGAGACCTGGGTTTGATCCCTGGGTTGGGAAGACCCCTGGGAGAAGGAAATGACTATCCACTCCAGTATTCTTGCCTTGAGAAATTCCATGGACAGAGGAGTCTGGCAGGCTACAGTCCATGGGGTCACAAAGAACAGACACAACTGAGCCACGAACACTTTTAACACAGATACTGCTAAATACTTTCCTAAAATGTCTGAACCAGTTTATATCCTTACTAGTAATGTATGAGAGTTTTAGTTATTTCATCCTCACTGATGCTTGAAATACAGACTTTTTTTTTTCTTTAATATTGCAATATATGATTTTTGGAATAAGTACACATTTTATAGTCAGAAAAAAAGCCAACAATACAAATATTTCCATGAGTAAGTAGGGAGAAGCTGTCACCAGTGACATGCTGTGCCAAAGAAAACTCGTCAATAGTATCCTCAGCCCAGCACATTTTCTTTTGCTCCTTTGCTCCCAATTCCTATGCCTCTCAGCCTACATTTATTTAAAAAATATTATTGTCTACTAGATTGGATGCTAAGTGTCCGGTGGAAAACAAAACAGCTTTCTTGAAATTTATAGTCTTCTGAGGAAACACATGTTAAACAAAAAATAAGCACATAAATATATCACTACATGTGACAATGAAGGAAACCGGAAGGTGATATGAGAAAGAATCACACTGGGGGGCAGGGAAGGCCTCCCTAAGGAAGTCACATATAAGGCGAAGTTTAAAACATGAAATAGGGACTTTCCTGATTTTCCAGTGGCTAAGACTGCACTCCCATTGCAGGGGGCCTGAGTTAGATTCCTGGTCAGGGAACTCGATTCCACATGCCACAACTAAAGATTCTGCATACTGCAACTAACACCCGGTGCAGTCAAATAAATACATAAATACTTTTAAAAAGTGAAATAGGCAGGAGACCAAAGGAATGGCAGAGGTGATAAGACAGGAAAGAACCTGGTGTTCAAGAAACTGGAGCACAGCAAGTGACGGGAAGAACTTCATAAAATGAACTTGGAAAGATAGGCAGGGGCCAAATCAGAAAGGCCTGGCCATATTTACCTCTAATCTTCCCATTCAGCTGGGGCTGTTCTTTCCTTGCAAACTCTCCTCAGGATTTACCCCCTCTAAGTAGCCTTCTTGAATAATACTGAATTGTTCAAATTAATATTATTAATTATATTATTGTTTCAAAAACCTCATAATTTGTAGTAAATAGCCCTTTCTTTCTGTTTCCTGAGAATATATTGGTTTACCCAACAGATGTAGGACAGGGCCTTGTGTTTCCTCTTTTACCTGAGTCCTCCAAGCATCAGGGATGCTCTGTTGACAGCAGGAGTCTTCCTTGGCCCTGCACTCTATTCCTAGAAAGCTCTTGGAATCTAAGTAGATAATCCCTAGAATCCTGTTGTGCGTGGTTTGAGGACTGACTCAGTGTCAGATCTTCAAAAGTTGCCCTGGAGCAACCAAATTTCCCCAGGATCCACATCTATTTTCCCAGACACCTTCCTTAACTGCAGGTTGATCTTGCCCCTCCTCCTGCCAATCACCAGGTTAGAGGCATCTTTGCTGTTGCTAAGAGAAGGAGGCTTGGGCAGGTGG